AGGTGCTCAGTAATTAGTTTACTGAAATACTAATGCTTCCATAATAGTTCTGGGATAATTCTACACATGAGCCAATTTTCTAAGGGAAGTCCACATTAGAGAGGTCTTTGTTTAGTATTCGAGATGATTAAAATTAATTATGAGCTGAAAAGTTCCTGGGGTGTCCTGGCTGGCCTTTGGAAATCTTCACTACATCTTTCTAGGTTGGAATTCTCAGCACAGCCTGAATGTGGGGCTATATCTGAGCTATTTATCTGAGTGCCCTCCATTTGACGTCGAGAACTGGGAGTTTACCAGGGCTTTTCAAGCCACTGGGAGAAACGGCTAAATTAAGAGTAACCTACTGATTTGAGATGTGGACTTGTGCCCCTTTATCCTTCCTGTTTCCCGCAGGAGTTTTATCTCAAAACTCCTAAGCCATTGTTAGGGAGATCCCTGGAACAAACCCCAAACCTACCCTCTAATAGTCAAGTTTACCTGAATATTCTCAGTTTTCTCAGGAGAAGACTAATCACACATTGTAATACCAACTTGGACTCTTCATGTGCTTTTCTTGTTCTTTTTTTTAATTTTTTTAGATGGAGTCTCACTCTGTTGCCAGGCTGGAGTGCAGTGGCATGATCTTGGCTCACTGCAACCTCCGACTCCTTGGTTCAAGCGATTCTCCTGCCTCAGCCTCCTGGGTAGCTAGGATTACAGGCATGTGCCACCATGCCCAGCTAATTTTTCTGTTTTTAGTAGAGATGGGGTTTCACCATGTTGGCCAGCATGGTCTCGATCTCCTGACCTCATGATCTGCCCGCCTCGGCCTCCCAAAGTGCTGGGATTACAGATGTGAGCCACCTCGCCTGGCCCTGCTTTTCTTAACTGATAGACTTAACACCTCAACTAAGTAAAAGTGTATATATAGAACATGCACGGGGCTTCCTCAGGCTTCAGCATCAGTTTCACTAGATGTGCTATTTAGGAGACCGTAGGAAAATTACTGTAGGAGTAAAAGTCATCAGTTCTGTTGCAAACAATCCTCTTGTTCCCAAGAAGTATCACTAAGGGATTTTTTTGGTCCCATATAATAAATAAATTGGCCGAAAATATCTTTTCATTGTGAGGAATAAGTATATGGTGCCTTTCTCCTTTTAAGTGTAAACTGCTAAAAGGCAGAAATAACGTGTATTCTGTATTCCAACACCCACAGTGTGTTTCTGGTCTTTATACCAGGTGCTCAGGAAGTGTTTTCACTGACTTGGGTTGACTGCTTGTTGTCTGCTTTCTGAGCATTCATTTCTGAATGAAAGGGGAGAAAGTGAAATGAGAGGTGGGAAGAAAGGGGAAGCTGGAGAAATAAGAGGAAACAGCTGGAAGCTGAGGAGGTGGGACTTATGTAAGGTCAGTAAAACTAAAAGCTAGCAGAGGGCAGGGTCAGGCCCTGAGGGTAGAGGACTAATTAACTTCTGTCAGCTAGTTGAATAGAGCCTTGTGTGCTTTGTTAGAGACCAAAGGTACTTCAAAGGAAAAAATCTAGATTCTTCCCTGTGTACCTTAATAATTATTCATCAGGTCAAAATTTATCCTGTCCTCTAGGATTCTGGTCTTCCCTCAGGCCTAGCAGAGAGCTTTCTGCCCCTACTCAGGCAACCAAGGGTGAAATGCTTTAAGTAGTATTTGTGGACAGCAGCAGGTAAGCTTGATGTGTTATTCACAGCGTAAAGAGTAAATGCTGAGTTCAGCTGTTGTCCATGTGTAGAGCTTTAACAACCAGCTCACCAGTTCCCTTTACCTGCTTTTATTCCTGGACCAGATGACAATGTAGGATATTCACTTGATAACATGTTTTTGCCCTGCCTTGTTCTTCACAAGAACTTTTGGCCAGGCATTAACAGTTAGTAAATTTTGTTGCATATAACAGTATTTTTTTTTTTCTGGTGATGTAGATGGATACACATGACACTAAACAATGCTGTTTAGTGTCGTTACATCCGTCTAAACTAGGGGAATGTATTTGGGGTGGAGGCTATAGCCAATGAGAAGAGGTTCACCTCTGTACCCTAGAAACGGTAGGGATTTAGTTTATTTTTTGACTATTAGCAAAATGCTGTAACTGAGCTAATCTTTGTGGTTTGGTGTAGGCCCATCAAGTTTGTGTGACCTATTAAATATCTACTTTTTCTGTGCTCAGCTATTACCCTGTCCTGGGGCATCTGAGGGCAGAAAGGAACAGGTGTCCAAAGGAGGAATGTTGGTGGCTCTGTTTTCCAGTTGTATTGAATTTCTTACTTGGTGTATTTTTGACTTGTCTTCATTTCTTTCCTTCTTGTGGTCTATGCTATTTTACTTTCTATTAGTCGGATATTCTTCCCTGTCATTAAAGAGTTGTAAAATTGAGGTTAGTATTTCTCTGCAAATGTTTTTTGGATGAAGCTGATCGGTTTAGCGTTGATTTTTGCCAGTGTCCTTCAAGAAGCGGGAAGGTGATAAATGTATTTCCGTGGCTTTAGACTCATTTTTGAAGTGTTGGATTGTGTGAATATTCTTAAAAACAATAGAATGTTTTAATTAAAAACCCTCAAATACCAGTTGAACTCAGTGTCTACTAGGAAAATGGGTAGATCTGTTATACTGCCATTTTGCTCGCTATGACTTTGTTCCAGTTGTCAAGGAACTTAAATGGGTATTCAGGGAAAAAGAATTTTTGTTTCCCCTTCCTCACCTTGCTAGTTAAAATAACTCCTGGTGACACTTCAGGTGGTAGAATTGAAACACAAGCCTGACTTCTGACCACACGGGTCAAAGGCAAATGACTTCAAAGCCCTTAGTGTGGTTATCCAGTTTGGGCAATGAGGAGATAACTTCCGCTTTCCTCCCTGAGGAGTTTTTAGTACTTAGGGGGGATGGGAGGTGTCACTTTGGGGAAAATATGTTGCTTTTTCTCCTGATTGTATTGAGGCTGATATGGAAGTGTTACATTTTTTCTGGCCAATTCTTTTTGGTATTTCTAAATATTGCAATCTTGATTTTTACTATTAAATTTGTTAATTGTCAGTTCTGGCTTTTTTGCCTATAGAGTTGATCCATTAACTTGCCAGTTTGAAGCTTCTAACTAGCTATTCCCTACTGAAAGTTTTTGGGTTTTAGTTTGTGGACCGGTGTTACCCGGTAAGACAATTACAGGTAATTGATAATGGCAGAGATACCTTCTTTTCCTAGGATTCTACGTCTGTAATTCAAATCTTCAGTGTGTTCACAGAACTTTAAAATTCTCTCCAAACTAGAAAGGAAATATCCTGTTGCTTTCTAATGTTTACTAAAAGTTGTGTTTAGAACAACAGATAGGCATCTTCCTTTGTTATGTGTCATTAATCCCTTTGCCAGGTTACCTTAGGACTCTTTGAAGGAGAGACGGGAGAAAACCTGTCACTTGGAGACAGTAAAAGGAATAATTAACTGGCTCAGAGCTTATATGCAGAGTTCCCAGCCCTAAAGTTAATCTAGAACCACTGGATAGCACCAATAAAAATATTTACTTCACATCTGTTATATTTCTGGAATATGTTCTAAGCATCTTACATATATTTCTCATTAAATCCACAGGTGCCCATTTGTGAGGTAGATATTTTGTTCTCATTTTCCAGATGAGGAAGCTGAGACCCTAAAAGCCCTAAAAGGTTAGGTGACAGGTTATATAACTTGGAGTGTGGGAGGAGGAGAGAGGAACTTGAACAGGGCAAGTTGGGGATCTGACTTTTGTTTGGGGGGAATGTAGGCACATTATATTTTTGGTTTAGACACTTTATTCATCATGGGTGAAGGTGATATCATTTACTCACTAAAAATTGTTTACAATAATCAAAATGAATTTACTGTCTTTGAACATCTGCTGTCTTTTGACTGAATCACAGTGTGTAGTCTGTGGAAGCTCACTTAAGGAGAGGGTTCCTTTTTTGTTTGGTTAGAGAAATTGTCTGTCCTGAAGGTAGAAATAGCCCCTTCTAGGTAGGGATGGAGCATTTGATCTACTGGTTTCATTATATTCCTCTAACAGTTGGAACTGATTGTTTTTGAGTACTTGTTTCAAACTTTTGAGTATGTTCCTTCTGGAAAATAGCTCAGTGTTTAAAATTTATCTGAACTTAAAAGGTTAATTCTTTTTCAGGGTGTTTGAGGAGCAATCAGTTCTGGTTTTGTCTTAAGGATAGAAATAGAATTAGCCATTTTCCTCAAGAAAAGTGATTCTTCTGAATCTCAGCTCTTCAGTAATGAGAACTAGACTGTTTTCATTTGACCTCTATTTCCTGTCAGTGGGAAACCCCTCCCCAGAGGTGCTGCGTGAAAGATTGCCAGGGAAAGGATTTCTAGATCCCAGCATCACAAGTTCAGGAGAGTCCAGTGATACTGTCATTAGAATAATGTCTTTACTTAGTACCAGTTTTCATAACCCTGAAGCTTCATTTTTTACCAGTTTGAAAGGCAGCAGCTAGGGAGGAGAGACTATGCAGGGAAGGGGGAAAACTGAGGAGTGCATCACAGAGACCTTGAGTGTGTTAAGGCAGGGAAGAAGATTTGCTATTCAATGAATGAAAATAAAAGGACTTCCATTGTCCAGAGTCAGAGCAAGAACATAAAGGTTTTAGTTTACCTAGTTAATTCCTTAGGTTTATAGGACTTTATAAGAGACATGGGGGTCACCCATAGCAATTTAGCTGACAAATTTATCAGAAACTCTTTCATCATTTTCTGTCCCCTCCTGTCTTAGGCTGACCGGTTCTGATGTGTTACCTGCTTCTGCTACTGATCCAAACTGCAGAACTTCTCATTCATCCCCAAGGCCTCCAGGCAGTATCCAATGGGGAATCAGCTCTAAAAGGAACCAGACCAACGTTTTCCAGCCCCTTCATTCTGGTGACTGAGGGGAGGAAAGAATGGGAGGAGGGCGTATACTTGTCTAGTTGATGGAAAGAAAACACACAGTCAAATAACTGTATCTCCTTGGTTTTCTATTACAGTAGAATTCTGCAGCCATATTTTCATTGTGTATGTATGGGGGAAGTTTTGGTGACCTTGATTAGAAGTGTCTGGAGGAGACTAAATGGAGGGGATAAGAGTCAGTTGGTTTTGGAAAATGTTGAAGTCTTAATGTGTCCATCTGAAGAATTTTTTTCTAAAACCAGAGTTTACAGAAATATCTCTGATACAGCCTGCCCCCTCATTTCCCTGCCACAGGCGATGTCTTGGACTAGAGACGCTTGTTTAATAATAGCTTGTCTCTGATATTCCCAGTAGCTACCTCTGTGTGAGGAAAGGATAGAAATGTTCAGGAAATCATCATACAGGCTCCCCATCTACAAAGTTCCAGTAGCAGTGACGCCTACAAGGAAGACTTGGAACTGCAAACAGAGGCTGGGGTCACCTCAGTGACATCTCCTGACGCTGTCCAACCAGAAGTTCGATTTGTGTTCTGGGGGTGAAGAAGGAAACAGACTGTACTAAAGGACTAAAATAATTTCTTGTCTATACTATCTCACTTGTTTTTATTTTTGGCGGGAGAGGAGGGGTGTTGGGATAGAATTTCACATCCTATCCTGGAGTGAAGGGGAGGATGGGGAGGCTCAGCCCTTCACCCAAGAATAACCCAGTAATGACATCTCTACGCGTGGGAAGTGTTTCCCTCCACGCTGGGAGGATCCGAGGCTGCACCCCAGTGGGATTCCCTGCTTGAGCTGGAAGGCCGTCTCGCCCTGAGATGCAAATCATAGCGAGAGCGAGGAGAGCTTAGCCCGCCGGGGAGGAAATGCCAGAGGGAAGAGACACTCGAAGTCGAAGGGGCTTCCCCCAATTTGGAGGTGGGGACCATCCTGTGCAGGAGCGACTGAACAACCGGGTGTCCGCCGTGGCCTCTGCCCTCCGCTGAGGGTGTAACAGGGACGCGACACTGCTGGACTCTGTCTGAGTCACGGGAGACAGCCCAGCTGTGCCCAGCGGGCCCGCGCCAGACCCTGGCGTCCTCCATCTTCTCTCCTGAGCTCCCCCTGCTCCAGCTGCCTGAGCCACGGACCGCAGCACCACACACCCCCGCGGGGGGGGACGCCGCGCCCCATCCCCGCCCCGGGCCCCACCCCAGCCCCCCCGCGGGGGCCCTGACCCCACAGCCGGCGGGCACTGGCTGAGCTCCGAGGCGGCGAGCCGGCAGCGGGGACGCCCAGAGGGGGTCCGGGCGACTGGGGGCGGCGGCGGCCGGGCCGGGGCTCCCCCCCCGCCCGCGCTCGCCGCCGCGGTGGTGCGTCCCGGAGGTTACCGGAAGTGGCCGCGCTCGGCGCTGCCATGTTGAGGAGCCGCCGCTGCCGCTGCCGCCGCCGCCGCCGCCGCCGCTTTGTTGTCGCCTCCTCCGGCTGAGGAGGCTCCCCTAGCGGGGGGAGTGGGGAGGAGGGGGGTCGGCCGCCGCAGCCATGGAGGCCAACTGGACCGCGTTCCTGTTCCAGGTACTGGGGGCCCCCCCGGGGGGGCAAGGGGGGGACAGGGGGGCCGGGCCCCGGGCTGGCGGGCGGGCGGGCGCTCCTCCCCTCCCTCCCGGCTCCGCTCTCCGGCCCGGCCTTAATCCCCCTTTGTTTTTCCGCCCGCCCGCCCGCCCGCCCCGGCGGAGCGGGGCTGCTGAGGTGAAAGGAGGCGGCCTCACGGGGTGCGGGGGAGAGAGCAGGCCTCGGGGTGAACCCGGGGGCCCCCCAGCACACACACGCACACACACACACTCACACACACCCTTCCCTCCCGCCTTGAAGGGGAAGGGAGGAGGCCGGTCGCTGTCACCACCTCGCGGCCCAGAGAAAGGAGGGCGCCGGGCCGCTGGATAGCGCGGGCTGCTGGGCCATTGCGTGCTGGCCCGGTCCCGCACTGTGGGGTGAGGAGGTCCCCAGGTCCTGCTCTGAGTCTTCTCCCCCCCAACACACACTTCATCTATCTTTCGCTTGCTCTCTTTTTACCTCTCTCTCTTTTTGTGTGTGTGTGCGCGCGTGTGTTGACTTTCTGACCCCTTCCCGTGTCCCCGCGAATAGCGGGTATCCCTGGTTCCCCGCCACTCCCCCTCACCGCCCCCCCCCCCGTGTTTGCCCAGTTGTGGGGGAGGATGTTGTGAGTGTGTATCCCCTCCCCAAACTTTTTCACTGGATTTACATTTTTTCTTTCCCAAGCCTCAGCCGAGCCTTGGCAGCTGACACCTTCTCCCTCTGTCCAGCTCTCCCGCTGTCCCATTCAGCCCGGGGAATCCCCCAGCCGGGCCGGCCCGGGGCGGGGGGAGCGGTGGGGGCCGGGACTCCTGGAGGCCCGACCTTCTCCCGAAGCGCTTTTCTTTCTCGGCCCACCTCGAACGTTTCCTCCAACCAAGTGGAGAGAGCAAACAAAGTCCGCTTACAAAGCCCCCAGATGAGTCACTCTCTGGGATGTTGGTCTTCGCTTTTTTGCAAGAAACTTAGAAGTGACTGTAGCCGATCTGTTTTGGCAATTCTCTTGCCCGCCCACTTTAGATGGGGGACCCCTGTTTGGCAGATCTAGGCTGGAGCTTATTTTTTTTTCTACTTTGTTTCTATTTGCAAAGGAAGCATTTAGTGGGCAGTGGCGATGAGCTCACGGGGAAACTTCGGCACCGGAGGAGGTTAAGAAGCTCGTCACTTTTAAGTGCGTTCTTCCCGCCTCTCTGAGTTATTTTCCTTCTTCGAATGCTTCGTGAAATCCCAAACGCGTAGTTGGGGCGCTTGATACCTTTTGGAACTAACAGGAACGGATGCAGGATTTTCAAAAATTATCCTCCCAGCCATTGGATTCATTCCAGTAGAGTTAATACAGGGAATTGGATAACTCAGAAATTACTTACTGTATAGACTGGCCTGTTGTTTTAAGACATATTTTTTTCAAATCTGGGCAATTTGATCTTTCAGTAGTTATTAAAAATGCATTGGAAAAGAAATGCATGCATGCAGGTTGGTTTAAAGGTGGCAAATACCTTCCCCAGAAAAAAGCTCAAATGGTCGTTTTAAAATATGGGTCGTTTTTAAAATTGATGGGCCACTGAAGTGATTTTCATGTGATTAAAAACCATATTAAACATGGTGTCTATAGAGACTGAAAAAAAAAAAAGTTCTTCATGTAAAGCAAAAACCCATAACACATCTTTGGAAAGCTGTTGAAAAATCTTTTGAAATACTTTTTTAAAAGTTATTTTTTCCTCTGGATAAAGCAATGCCAAGCGTTTATTGATCAACTTTTTAATTGGATTTTATATTATTTAATTTTTTTCAGCTATTAAAATCTTTTTTTCCACCTGATGGAGAAGTGTGAAAACAAATATTTGACCCTGGGCTTGGCAATGTGTGCAGTGAAATTTGTTGGAAAACTTAAAATTTAGAGCCGAGAACAGTTGAATGGGTAAAGAGAATATTTCAGTCTTTTCTGTGGAAAGGTATGAATAGACTTAATCAGTTCTGGTTTTACGTAATTTTTACTGGGGATGTGGAGTTAAATTATCTTGTTTGTTTCCTGGAGCATCCTGTTGAATTTATATTTTAAAACGATTTAATACCTGCTTGCTTTCCAGATAACTTGGTGGAAAGTGAAAGCTATAGCTATTAAAATGTTTGATGGATGATTCTTCTAACAGGACATTCAAGATATGACTCACCGATGCTAATTTGTTCAGTACAAAATCTTTTACCCTCTGGCGCTGGAGATTTCATGGTGCCATATCCTACTACCCTGGGTGATGAAATAACATTTCTGTTTTGTTTCTTGCCAGCCCCAGAACAAGGAAAGCTTGGGCAGGGTTAAAAAGCCTTGCAGTTGAAAGAGATGGAAGATAAAATTAAAACTTTTGGTTTGATGATGCTAGTCAAATAAAAGCCTACCCAGAAGTTATATTTTTAAAATAAATCACTTAACTGAAGGCTGGCCGTGGTTGTTATTTTACTCTGTCTCTCCCCCAGAGAACAAGTTGGGAAAACCCAGTACCCCCTTAGAAGGCTTCATGTAGAAGTGTGGGGATCCTAGGAATCCTCAGAGAGTGATTCCTGTAGTGGTTCTACAGAATTTCACCCAAGAAGCAGGGACCTGGTGTGACCCTCGTGTGAGAGTGAGCTTCAGCAATGCTGTAAAAATACTTTATGTTGCCACAGACATCTGAATTGGTAAAATGGCAGTAAGTGCTTTTAGTACTCCATTGTACTAATGGTTGTTTAGAATTGAAAAATGCCTCTAAATGCTCTAAGTCTGAACTTTGTCCAGAAGATCTGCATTCCCTATTATCTGATGTGTTAGCTTTTGAAATTGTATATCTTCAGCTATCTTCAGCTATTAACTATTTGTATACTGTATGGAAACTTGAGTATCCCTACAGCCAGGTTGGAAAAGGGGGTATGATTAGAGTCCAAATTCTGTAAAGTTTCTACTGAGGTCACCTGGGTAGATAGACCCTTACATTTACAGGAGCTTCACAAATTAGATTAACAGTGGACTGTAATTCGCTAGGAGCAGTAAGTCCAGAAAGAGACTCATAAGTAACCACACAATTTCTGAGAAAGCTTCCAGGACTCAAAGGGTGATGACATCAAAATTATTAAATTGAAACTGAGAACTCTGGATACCACACCTCCTAATCGTTTGGGTGAGACTAGTTCCAGGCTTAACTGTTAACGCTGCCATCAAGTAAACATACAATGTGTGGTAGATGTTCTTATCCATCAGAGGAGGAGCTGTGAGTGAGTGTGTGTGTTTCTCCTTGTTTTTTCGTCCTTAATCAAATTATCTGTGGGACTTGTGGTTATAGAGTAAGAAGGGTAAATAACTGTTAAAAGTGTCTAAGATGATGGGATAGGCCCCTAGTAGGACACTGTATGCTTAAAATATTTGAAACTCCCACCTCTTGAGTGATGTGTCCTTTTACGATTACAGAACTCAAGCATAGGGGCTTGGGCTTACTGTCAAGAGTTTCAAAAATAATGTTAGTAAAGAACAACATATTTGGAAGAACTATTTCAGGAATTTTTTCCCATCATTTCCTACATGTTTATCAGTGTGGAGAATTTTGAAAGTGTCAGAACCAAGCAAGTAACTACTCATAAATACCAAGAACCTGATCCATGATTAAATTTTGGTTTCAGTGCAGCTAAAAGAATTTCCAGTGTGCAGCCTCCAGTTTTGGGAGTGGAGAAGCACATCATAACAGCAAATGTCTAATACTTTATTGAAACCTACAACTGCTGGAAGAAAATAAATATGAAAGGAATTTAAGTGTTTATAGTTTGTTTTTCTCATTAGTCTGCCTTTGAGAGTTTCGGATTTGAACAGCTAGTGTTGCTGAAGGATGCAGACTTTAGTATACAATTAAGTGACCTGAGAAACAACTGGCAGGTGTTTTGCTGTGGGCTACCTTCACAGATACCTTCCAGGTTGCTTAATAGCAGATTTGGTTTCAACCAAATCTTTTAGTAGAGACAGGTGAAAACTTAAAGTTAACAAACAACTAGCAAATGTATTTAGAGAACTAGATTTCTTTCATCACTTAGCAACAGCCCCTTCCTCAATCTGAGGAAAGACACGATGCTTTTCTTCTGGGTAATAGAGAAATAGATGACTATGTCATTGTGTGTCCGTGAGTGTGTATGTGCATGTTGTTGCAGTAAAGTACTGTTAAATACTTAAACCTGGAGGATTTTTTTTTTTTTTAGTAAGTTATTTAAACTTGGTTTCAGCACTGACAGGCTAATGCAAACTGATTTCATCAGCTGGTCTGTCCCTTATGAACCAGGAGAGTGTGTGGTTTAGTCAGCTGTTTAAAAGCAAGATCACTGTCAGCAACTTAGTTGCAAAAGTTTTGTGTCTGCACAGTGATTTTTCAATGCTTTGTATTGTGAGCTCTGAGTAACTAGGTTGCTGGATTTCCACTGCAGAGTAGCTTGTAGGTTCTTTGACTGTTTCTTCTGGTCTCTATTGTCTGGAGCATGTTGACTTTTAAAGGCCATTGTGAGAGGTCAAGTTTCTGAAGTGTGAATGTTTGGTTTTAGGCCCATGAAGCTTCCCATCACCAACAGCAGGCAGCACAGAACAGCTTGCTGCCCCTCCTGAGCCCTGCCGTGGAGCCCCCTGATCAGAAACCATTGCTTCCAATACCAATAACTCAGAAACCTCAGGGTGCACCAGAAACATTAAAGGATGCCATTGGGATTAAAAAAGAAAAACCCAAAACTTCATTTGTGTGCACTTACTGCAGTAAAGCTTTCAGGGACAGCTATCACCTGAGGCGCCACGAATCCTGCCACACAGGGATCAAGTTGGTGTCCCGGCCAAAGAAAACCCCCACCACGGTGGTTCCCCTTATCTCCACCATCGCTGGGGACAGCAGCCGAACTTCGTTGGTCTCAACCATTGCAGGCATCTTGTCAACAGTCACTACATCTTCCTCGGGCACCAACCCCAGTAGCAGTGCCAGCACCACAGCTATGCCGGTGACCCAGTCTGTCAAGAAACCCAGTAAGCCTGTCAAGAACCATGCTTGTGAAATGTGTGGGAAGGCCTTCCGAGATGTGTACCATCTCAATCGGCACAAGTTCTCCCATTCAGATGAGAAGCCCTTCGAGTGTCCTATTTGTAATCAGCGCTTCAAGAGGAAGGACCGGATGACTTACCATGTGAGGTCTCATGAAGGAGGCATCACCAAACCCTATACTTGCAGTGTTTGTGGGAAAGGCTTCTCAAGGTACTGCATTTTGCTTTGCTTCATTATGGTATCACTGAACTTCAGTTTTGTCTCCATGTGATCTAGAATGTTTATGTGAGAACAGATGTGGGCAGACCTGTGTTATTAGAGGAGATTGGTGATATAAAGAAGTATTAAGCCTCCAGGTCTAACTCTAGTGTGATTGACAAGTAGTGACTTAGTGATTAACCTGTTTTTTTCACTTACCAAGTGCCTTGGTGGACTCAGGCTTTCATTTGGCACATGGATACTTATCACTGCAAAACCGCCAGTTTCCAGTTCAGTTGGGGGACTAGACATGAAGCCCATTGTGCTAATTAAAATAACATTTCCTGGAAGTTGGGATGACCTTTGGACACTCTTAATTAAACTTTTAGAATGTTTTTTCATTTTTCTGAGAGCACCAACATTTCATTAATTTTTATTTTTAAAAGCTTTTAGATTTAATACAGTGGCAGCTGTTTCTGGCAAGTGTTAGGACTAAAACTTTGGATATTTTGTAATTGTAAAGAATCAAGACCTAATAGGATTTGATGTTGACTAAGAGAGAAAATTAACAGGTAGAAGACTAAGACTTTGTTTTTGGTAAGAGAGGTAAGGAGGCTTGCACTGGGGGAGGGAGGTTGGTAATTCTGCTAGCTTTCCTAAAATGCACCCTTTCCCAATCTGCCAAGCGTATAAGCATCACATAAGTAGCGTTTCTCTCTGTGTGTTCGATTATATATCTTCTGCTGAAACTCTCTTTTTCACAGGCCTGACCACTTAAGCTGTCATGTAAAACATGTCCATTCAACAGAAAGACCCTTCAAATGCCAAGTAAGAGTTAAAATGACTTATCCTTAGTGTAGCACTTAATGTACATTATCCAGAAGGTCTGAGCCAGTTGAATCTCACCATTCTTGGATAGTCTTAAATAAATCACTGACCTGAGTAAATATGGCCTATCTGACTTCTAGTTTTATAAAATATTATGACAGCTTCTATCTTTGTAAAGCAAGATCATTTAAAAATGTGTGTTTTTTTGTAAGCTCTATTTCCCTTTCCTTGGGCAATAGCATTTTTTGTTAGAAAAAAAAGGTTATAGTCTTGCAGAGGTGGTTGTGTATTTGAAATGAATAAAAGAATAAAGGGCTTTAATTTCTGGATTTATTATTGAAGTTGTTTTAACTGTGATAGGAGAAAATATGAAGTTTTCTCCCAAATGTTATCACTTACTGGATTTTTGTTGGTTATTACCAAATTGGAGCACTTTCTAGTTGTTTAAAAATCTCTTCTGGTTAATGATTTTATTTGACATCAGTTATCTGGATAATGAAAAGATTTAGAATTTTGCTAAATCAAATGACTGTTTAAGGTATTGGTAATTCTAGTTTGTTGCTGGAAGTCTTTTAGTCCTTCTTTCAGTTAAGTTTGTTAATGACTGATTTTATTAAGTAAATGACTTGAATTTCTAAGTAAGATCTAATTGAAGGAAGTGAGGGCCTGCTGTGTATACCAGGCTCTTAATCCACCAGTACTTTTGTGAGATAGATAGTATTATTCCCATTTTACAGATGAAGAAACAAATTCAGTTAGGTCAACCAACTTGTTCAATGTCATGTTGTTTAGCAAATTGTGGAGCTCAACTTAAGCCCAGGTTTAACTGACCCTAAAGCTTAAGTTTTTTGTGCTACCCTTTGTTGATATATTTTCTTCCTCCGAAATGGAAGAGTCTAAAATTTATCAAGTATTTTATTATGATTATGATTCTAGGTAACACATGTAATTAAAATTCAACTAGTTGTCAGCTTGCTGACGTGGATAGGGTAATGCATAGAATATAACGTACTTTAAAATGAGTAGAACAGGATAGTCTATATTTAAAAAAAGTTTTCCTCCCTCATGCAGACATGCACTGCTGCCTTTGCCACCAAAGACAGACTGCGGACACACATGGTGCGCCATGAAGGCAAGGTATCGTGTAACATCTGTGGGAAGCTCCTGAGTGCAGCGTACATCACCAGCCACTTAAAGACTCATGGGCAGAGCCAAAGTATCAACTGTAATACATGTAAACAAGGCATCAGTAAAAGTAGGTGGTGGTTCAGATTTCATTTCTATTTCAGATTGGTGAAATATGAATGTTTTTATAATGTATTAAAGGTATTAATATTCACCTTACATGTTTCCTCCTATTGCCAACGTGTGCGAACAGGCAACAATGGAGAGAGTATATTAGTGTCAGAACTATGCTTTACTTTCATGTATGCAAACAGCGTTGGTAAGCCAGTAATAACCTTTAAAAGGAAAGCAGCGTTAATAAGCTTGCTTTTCAAACCCAAATCTATAGAGAAATGAGATGATATATCCACTTGCAAGGTTAAATGCTTTGCTTGCCTTAAATTCAGAGTCGAAGATAGAATACTTGGATTTACCCAGGCATTTTCTTTCAAGATTGCCTAGAAGAAGGCATTTTCCTGATCATTTATTCTATTATATATGTACTTTATGCAGTAGAAACGTCAAATTTTTAAAAACTATGTGGCCACAAGAGCATGGGGAAGAAAGCTTAATGTGTGTTTATCTGTTTTTGCTTCTTTGTAAGTACATTGGGTTTATTATCTAGTGTGTTGTACTTTAACTATATAAACATTCATTTTTCTTTTTTTTTTTTTTTTTGAGACCCAGTCTCACTCTGTCACCCAGGCAGGAGTGCAATGGCATGATCTCAGCTCACTACAACCTCTGCCCCCCAGTTTCAAGCGATTCTCCTGCCTCGGCCTCCCAAGTAGCTGGGATTACAGTTGTATGCTGCCGTGCTCGGCTACTTTTTTGTATTTTAGTAGAGATGGGGTTTCACTGTGTTGCCCAGGCTCGTCTTGAACTCCTGAGCTCAGACCATCCACCCACCTCGGCCTCCCAAAGTACTAGGATTTCAGGTGTGAGCCACCGCACCCAGCCTGTAAACATTCACTTTTGGTATGCATTATTGTGGTCAAATAAAAAAATACATTAGATATTTTGTTGAACATTGATTATTTCATATTAATATTATCAAACTTCCATTTTTAAAGACACTTGCTTTTTTTTGACACTTTTTTTTATAGCAAATAATTATTTTCTCTTTAATATTGATTTCTGCTAATTCCCTAGATTTTTTAGTGCTTGTTTATTTTGACCAATATAGACACAGAAGCAAAAAAAATAAAAAAATAAAAAAAAAAAACACTTATTAAGAGCTACAGAAGCATGAGAAGTTAATTTTGAAAAAATGGCAACAGTTTTACAGGTAAATACAGTGTTTTTGGTTTGTCTTTGTAATAGCATGCATGAGTGAAGAGACCAGCAACCAGAAGCAGCAGCAGCAACAGCAGCAGCAGCAGCAGCAGCAGCAACAACAACAGCATGTGACAAGCTGGCCAGGGAAGCAGGTAGAAACACTGAGACTGTGGGAAGAAGCTGTTAAAGCAAGGAAGAAAGGTAAGGCATGGCTTCCAGTGTTGAAAGTGTGGCTAGAGAAGTGTTTTCATTTAGTATGTCAAGTGATCAAAGTAGAGAAGCCACAGTTTCAGGAAATCTAGCTTAATGGAAACATATAAATAGTACATGCTGGAAAATATCTGGTAAAGTATAGTTATAGGCAATAAAATGTCCAGATAAGTTATTACTATGAATTAAAAATTCGTAGTACTTCCTATCATGTTCTTTCTTTTGATTTACTTTTTGTTACAAACTTAGAGCCAAATTTGGTCCTTTACTGTCCTCAGAGTTGCATTTTTATATTCAATTTGATGTCAACCTCCATGCATTGTGGGCCTTTTTTTCCTTTTCTAAAATACTCCCACTTTTAGAGGTGGATGTCCTTATGTGTATGTAAGTTTATTTTCTTACCTGTGCTGTTTTTGCTCTTTAGTGTTCTTTTTTCATTGTATTATTTATTACATGTTTCAGATTCTGTAGTGCTGATGTCTTTTCTCTTGGTGACACCGTTAATTTCCTTCAGTCTCTATCACTATGGTAGGCCTCAGTTTAACATGTCTAGTCTTCTGCTGCTGAGGACTTTACTGTAATTGTTAAAAAATTTTAAAATGGTTTGCTTTTCTCTCATGTGTATGTCAGTTGGAGTATCAGTTTTCAACTTACTTGTCAATTTACTAGTACAGCTTTGGCTTCTGAACTATTGTGCAGCCATTTCAAATGAATCATTTTGTCAATGTACCATGAGCCAAAGGACAGATTTGTAAATTCCTTCTTCCTCCTCCACCCCTGCTATGTCTTACTGTGTTAAATGTTAAGAAATCCTCTATCTGCTGGCTCCTCTATATGTAATTCCTTTGCCGTGTAGTTTCTCCCATCTTTTGCTTTCATGTAGTGTGGCTGTTCCCTTCCTCAGAGCAATACCTTCTATTTTTTTTGTTGTTTTGTTTTTTTCTTTTTTAGACAGAGTCTCGCTCTGTTTCCCAGGCTTGAGCGCAGTGGCGTGGTCTCGACTCACTGCAGCCTTCACCTCCTGGGTTCAAGTGATTCTTGTGCCTCAGCCTCCCGAGTAGCCAGGATGACAGGTGTTTGCCACCACACTCAGCTGATTTTTGTATTTTTAGTAGAGGCAGGGTTTTGCCATGTTGGCCAGGCTGGTGTTGAACTCTTGACCTCAAGTGATCCACCTGCCTCAGACTCCCAAAGTTCTGAGATTATAGGTATGAGCCACTGCACCCAGCCACAGTAATCCCCTCTAAACCTCCTATACTTGAATAAAAATAAAAGGAATAGCATTCTTTTTTTTTTTTTTTTTTTCTGAGATGGAGTCTCTATTGCCCAGGCTGGAGTGCAATGGCACTATTTTGGCTCACCGCAGCCTTCGTCTCCTGGGTTCAAGTGATTCTCCTGCTTCAGCCTCCTGAGTAGCTGGGATTACAGGCATGCCTGGCTAATTTTGTGTTTTTAATAGAGACAGGGTTTCTCCATGTTGGTCAGGCTGGTCTCAAGCTCCTGACCTCAGCTGATCTGCCTGCCTCGGCCTCCCAAAGTGTTAGAATTAATCTTGAGCCACCGTGCCCGGCCAGCATTCTTGTTTCATACATTTACTGGCATTGGAAGAAAAGAGTGCAGCAGTCCGTATAGGATTTCCGCCATTCCTCAGGTACTATTTGTTCCTATCTTCCAACTGAAGATTTGTCATCATCTTAATGTTTTGGCCAGGTGTGGTGGCTCACACCTATAATCCCAGCACATTGGGAGACCAAGGTGGGAGGATCACTTGAGACCAGGAGTTTGAGACCAGCCTGGGCAAGATGGCAAGACCACGTCTCTACAAAAACTCAAAAAAAAAAAAAAAAAAAATTTAGCCGGGCATGACAGTGTGTGTCTGTAGTCCCAGCTACTCAGGAAGCTAAGGTGGGAGGATTGCTTGAACCCAGGAGTTTGAGGCTGCAGTGAGCTACAGTTGTGTCATTGCACTCCAGTCTGGACAACAGAGTGAGACCCCCATCTCAAAAAAAAAAAAAAAAAAAAAATGCTTTCGTGGTAGGAGAATGGGGAGAGGGAACTGGCAGTGAGGAGGAAGAAGTATAGTGCTATGACAGTTGTGTAGTGGGTTGAAAGTATATTATGAAGGGTATTTTACTTAATTGAACAAAAATGTTTAAGTCATAGTAAAAGGACACCGTTAGATTAGAAAGAAAACAGGAGGAGGTATAGGGGTCAGCAGGTAACAGTAAAAATTATTTGGTGAAAGTAGGGGGAGATATCCTTAGCAGTACTCCCTGAACCTCAAAGTGAATTGGTTTTCTCTCTCATTCTCTCTCTTGCTGTACTCCTCTATTTGGTATTGTATCTCAGTTTGCTTGCACAATAAGACTTGATTGTTTAGCTCATCTTCTGACCTCCATGAAACAAAATGCTATTGTATTCCCATTCGTAGCGTGAATCTCTCTGGAAACGTTAGAAACCTCTGTATTCATATTAGTAAATGTCATATTTTAGGGGAGAGGAGACTCTTGACCTGAAAACCTAAAGTTGAATCAAGTGTTTCTAAATATTAGGCCTAAATAAGGTAACATAAGTTTATAAACCTGATTGACAATCATATCATCATCTAGGGAGCTTTTTAAAAATACACATTTCCCAAGTTCCATCTAAATTTCACTATTGATTCTCCTGGGAGTCCTTTGTTGTTTTTTTTTGAAATCCCCTAGATAGTTGATTTTGATAATCAGCCAGGTTTGGGAATCCCTGATAGGGAGAATGGTGTATGCCAAAGTTAGATTGTATTGATCAAGTAAGGGCTCCTTGACTCCAGGGTCTCCTGTGGTGATCTGACCTGTGTGGATCATATACAGATCTCTATCTTTAGTTTGAATATATTTCTCCATTTTGACAGCTACATCACAGGCAGCCTACCCATCATTTTACCGCTGTTTTCTGGTACACCAGCAGGTGGTGCTGAATTTTGTTGAGGGGTGGGTTGGGGGTATCACCTTGAAGGAGTTTTCCTTAAGTAGTGTCTAGACCTGGCTCACACCTTAGTCCCAGCACTTTGGGAGGCTGAGGTGGACGGATCACTTGAGCCCAGGAGGAGACCAGCCTGGGCAACATGGCGAAACCTTATCTCTACAAAAAACACAAAAATTAGCTGTGCATGGTGGCACATGCCTGTAGTCTCAGCTACTTGGGAGACTAAAGTGGGAGGATTGTTTGAGCCTTGGAGGTTTGAGGCTTCCATAAGCTGTGATCACACTACTATACTCCAGCCTCAGCTACAGAAGGAGACTCTGTCTCAGAAAAAAAAAGTGTCTAGATTTTGCTGGATAAGAAGGACCAGGGTCTCACTGCAGGGTCTCCTTGCCTAGTTAGTTCTCCTTGGTATGCTTGATGGTATGTGTAATATGTGGAGTTAAAGATACTAGGCGTAAAGTAGGTGATTGTGTCAACATCAGAAACAGAAGAAGAAATGGGAGTGAGGAGAACATGAACTTACTGAGGAGTATTTTTTTTCTTTCCTAATGTAGTTAAGAAAACCAGAAACAGTAAGATTATTTAACTGAAACATATTTCTAAAACCGAAACAGATGATACTAAAATAGGTTATCATTCCCTAATTATGCATTTTTAAAACCTTAACAGAATATGGCTTTATGTCTCAGGCTTTAACATACTTACTGAGTATGCACCCCTCTCTCTACTGGTTATAGTGTGCCTTATGAGAAGATTTTTCTGATTATCTGTTATTGTGTAACCATTGGCCCAGCTCTGTGTAAACAAGCTCTTTAGCCTGGCCTGCTGGAGGTTGGCTCTTCCCAGGAAAGTTTTTAGAACTCAGAGGAACTGCATGAAGTAGTAGTGAGAACACTTAGCCCTGCATTGCAGAAGTTAACTGATCCTCTCAGCATCACTGTGAGGTAGGTAAGTAAATATGAACTTGAAACCTAAAGAGCAAGGCTGAACAAGTTGCCCAAGTCCTTGCAGGAGGTATAGCATCAGAAAGCTGATGATACACTGGGATCCCTGGCCCCCAGGCCTGAGCTCAGAAAGATCCTCCCTTCTGTTGACCACTTGATAGAAAACTGGAATTTGATTTATTAATTGTTTGACCTTTTTGATGAAAAGAAATTGATTCAGAAACTGTTGATGAATTTTGCTCACTCTTTTGAGAATCTAAAGACCCTTTTGTCTTCTTATTTTAGAAGCTGCTAACCTGTGCCAAACCTCCACGGCTGCTACGACACCTGTGACTCTCACTACTCCATTCAATATAACATCCTCTGTGTCATCTGGGACTATGTCAAACCCAGTCACAGTGGCAGCTGCAATGAGCATGAGAAGTCCAGTAAATGTTTCAAGTGCTGTTAACATAACCAGCCCAATGAACATAGGGCATCCTGTAACTATAACCAGTCCATTATCCATGACCTCCCCTTTAACACTCACTACCCCGGTCAACCTCCCCACCCCGGTCACTGCCCCAGTGAATATAGCACACCCTGTCACCATCACATCTCCAATGAATCTGCCCACACCTATGACATTAGCCGCCCCTCTCAATATAGCAATGAGACCTGTAGAGAGCATGCCTTTCTTGCCCCAAGCTTTGCCTACATCACCGCCTTGGTAAACAGTATTATAAAATCAAAATATGGGTTAAAGTAAATATTTACCAGCAACTTAACTTTTAGTTGATTAAAGCAAAAAGTAAACCATGAAATTGGGAGATTTTATTACATTAGTTAATAAGAATGTGGTAGCATTTTTCTCCAATTTGGCTGGGATTATTCAAAGTAGGGTGTGTATGTAACTTATCACTGGACCACTTTAGTTTAATCAGAAATTCCTTTTAGCTGACAACATTGCTTAAACAGGATAGTAGTTGGCAAGATGAAATGCCAGAATTAAAAACAATCATAAATAAGTAGAACCCACTTCAAAATAAAAACAGCATTACTATTTCTAATCCCAAGAAATCA